GCTGGAATTTCTCTCGGTTTGCTGTTCCCAGCTCTGAGCACCTCTGGAAGGATCCTGCTGTAGCTTTGTCATCGTGCACATTCAAAAAGGTGGAAATCAAGGTCTGATGGCACCTTGTGAACTTTTAAAGGCTCCATTGGTCTCAGAAGTCTGATAAGCTGAGCGGCAGCAGCTGCTCAGTCGGTAGCTGACACAGTTGTGCATCGCAGAGCAGCAGTGTGTTGCACAGTGCTCAGTCCTGGTGTCATTCACAGCTCCTAGATCCAAGTGATCAGGGTGACTGGGAGCAGACTCCCCAGGAGCACTATTTGCATTTTGGAATCCCAAAGTCCCCGAGGCGTTATCTCAAGCTGCAGAGCACCATAAATCAGCGGGGCCCTTCCCGGCAGTCAGCTTTGATACGGCCCTCCTCCTCCCCCTCCCCACCCATGCCCTACGGGAAGAAAAACCCTCAGCCATCTCACCCTTGTAAACGGCTGAGGATACAAGAGGAGAACAAAAGATATCTGGTTACTCACAAGCTGTGTGACACTTCCCTGCTGAACAGAGGATAACATCACGCAGTGGTTAAGACACGTCTGCTTCACCTCCACCGAGTCTCCTGCAGATTGTCTTTAAAGTATATTCACCATGCACAGCGGTTATTTAATCAACACTGCTACTTCACATCACATCTTCTGATCATTCTGCAAATCATTTTGAAGTCGCCTGCTTCATTCATTACATTTATTACAGAGATGGGTAAACTGTAGTATGGGGCGTAGCAGAGGAAAGGTTGTACGTAACCCAACATCACTGTCAAAGCACAAACCAAATGATTCTGTGATGAGCTCCTGAGCCTTGGGGACAGAGCTCCAATTTTTCTGATTTACACCAGAGTCAACTCTCTGCTCAGCAGAAACCAGCAGCATATATACATATATACATGTACAATTAAAAGCACCAGAATCAGTGGGAGTCAAGTATTAGGACAGACGGTAGCCACAAGATATCTGATGGAGTGACAGCTTGACATTTTTACATGACTGTGGAAAGCTGTTTTATATATATGAATATCCCAAATATTTCTTTTGGAGGGAATTAAGACTTACAGCAGAGAGTCAGCAGCAATTCCAACTGAGCTGAGAATTAACTCTGCTGTCCAATCAGTTTCAGATTGGCTTGAAATGGAAAACCCGTGGAGATGCCTGTGACAAAAAAGTTTTGGAAAGAAACCTCACATCTGTGGCCTTAAAATGAAAGCAGATCTGATACCAACCATTTCATAGCTAAGATCAGAAGTGAGCACTGGGCACAGTGTCACTGTAGGCAAGGATGCTGCCATCTGCAAAGGCTCCTGCTCCCTGGATGTGCAGATTTTGGTCAGACTGCCTGGAGATTTCTCCATGTTGGAGGGGGCCACCAACAGAACCAACACTGGGATGCTGATTTCAAGAGCCTGGATGCAGCTCTCAGTTCTTAAACTCCTGGTACCTACAGCTCCTACTGAGGATTTAGCCAAGAGGAACTCCTGCCTCATATTAGACAGCAGCGTATTTCCCAGCAGGAACAAACCACCTCATTAGTTTTCTGTTTCTTTCATGGCTAACTATTCCTACAAACACGTAGGGAAGCTGTTCCCCCAGAATGCTTAAACACAAACCATCATCAGTGAATTAATCCAAAACAAAAGCATCCTTAACCTATTCAGTATTTGCACCAGGGAAGTGTTTTGTCTCTGTCCGTCACCAAGAGTGACAGCAAGTGGACAGACAGGGGTGGGAACAGTCATCCTCAAAACATGAATGAAAACCAAAAACGCTGCCAAATCTGGTGAACAGCTTAGCTTTAGCCAGGCTTTCAGCAGCTTCACATCACAGCAGCTTCGAGCCTTTGCTTGTTTCGGGAAAACAAACAGCAACGCTCCCAAAGCTATCGCAGCTTCCTTCCTGCAGGAAGTTATCCTGAGCAGCCTGTGCTCTTGGGGAGATGGAAGCAGTCAGCACAGAGCAGTGGTAATGGACACACACGAAGGCAAAAGAAACTTGACCCTTTGTATTCCTCCTCTGAGACACAGCGCTCCTTTTCTGAGTAAAGCACAAAGATGCCAGGGAGGCATTTTGCCTGGTGTTTCCTCCCAGCCTTGGCAGAGCTTTGCCTGCTTGGCACCTTGCAAGCAAAGCTGATACCATCAAAGCATCCAATTCTATGCTCCCAGCAACAGAAGTTACAGCAGCTAACCCCAGACCTCTGTCAGAATGCACAGCTGAGACTGTCTGAAGCAGCTTTTCAACACCATGCAGCTCATGAAAAGAATGACAAGGCTTTAAAGAAACCAGATCAGTATGAGACATCTACAAGCTCCCAACCAAAAGCAAGGTGTTCTAAGGAACAGACTGTCCGAGCAGCAACATTTTGGCCAAATACACCAAAATAGCCCCAGCTAAATCAGATGTCTAGGATGCCACTGCCAAGTCCTTGTAAGTAACAGAGAAGAATTTCATGACTTGGTGCAGTGTAACCATGTAAGGGCAACTCTGTCCATCTTGTATAGCACAAGTACAGTTCATTCCCTTTCTTGGCTCTAGAAGATCCGAACTATTCCTGTCACATGAAAACAAAGAACATTTTACACCACAATACTAGAAAATGTAACTCAAAATTGATTTTAAAGGGCCACATACCTTTCCTTGTTAGTGCTCTGCTGTTCTGCAGTCTGCAACACCTCATGCTGGACACCACCGATGGCAGTGGGAATTTCACAAAGCATTTAGGGCAGCATTAATCCCCTCCCAGCTTAACTACATTTAGGATATGGCATCATAGCATTTCATCTGTTTATTTTACAAGAAATTAACGAGAAAGTGATGTTTGTTGCTCTTCGTATTTCAGAATTTAAAAAAAAAACAAACAACACAAAGCAGCAGACAGTATGGATAGCAGGGAAAGTTCTGAATTCTAATTCCTAAATATATAATTCATACTGGGTGCAAATTTCATTTGGTCTGTTTAGGTTCTAATGGATTTTTATCATTTAAAGAAACCTCAACTTCATTTTGAACTTTTAAGCTGTCGGTCCACTTTCTCTTAATGGGGGAATTCCACTGAAATCCACATGGATGAGCGAAGTCCCAGAGGATTAGATGGAAATCAACAATATTTACTCCTTGGTAAACCAGGCATTTATCAGCAGTAAACAGACACTGGTTTATTTAGAGCTCTTCCCTAACGCCAAGGCAGGAGCAGCTAATTGAAGATACGTCAGAAACATGAAATCCAATTAAAACTTATTTCCTTCTACTGTGTACGAAAGAAAATAATGAGAATTGGACATCAGCCAAGCCAAAATGTCTCCCTTTTGGATACTGTATTTGTGCTTCCAGAAAGCGCTTTCAGAGATTTATCTGCTGGAAACACAGCAGAATTACAACTAAAAGCTTTTTTGGTTTTTTTTTTTTTGAGGTATCTCTCATGGCTGACACTGATGCCAGAAAATAACTCCAGAATAAAGAATGGCATTCAAAAAGTGAACGTGAATTCAACACAAAGCTTTTGTTTCAGTCTTTTCAAATGAACTCCTGCTTGGTTGAAATGCAGGAGTTCAAAGCTTCTGTAATGCTGGAAGAGGAGTAAATTCAAGGGTCATCAGTGGGAATGCAGAACGTACAAGCAAAGGTGTTTTACCTTATGACTGTTCTGACAAAGGCTAACAGCTGATTCTAGCCCTCTCTGTGGAATTTGCTTCAGAAACAAAGGTCTGCTTTACTCTGCAACTACACTTTAACATGGGCTGATCTACTGTGCCTCGCTTCAGCAGGTGTTGCAAAGATGCATATTGCAGCTTGAAGCATCAAGAGGACAAAATAGAGATAATGGAAAGATACAAAACTTGAGATAAATGATCCTCCTTGGTTAGACAGGGCCACTATTTCACACTCTCAAGAGAAGTCTGAGATTAAAGTTTCCCCACACCAGTTCCACGTGGAGACAATTTATAGCATGAGCAGGAAAGCAACACAAAATGTATCTCTTGAGAAAACTCTGAATTTGACAGAGCAAAGACGATTGCAAACATTGTCCTACAGGAATTAACATCGTACAATCAGGACACAGTATTTCTTTCTTGCAACACACAGTACTTTCTTTCCCAATGACCACTTCATAAGCTTTTTCAGCAGTCCAGAAACAGTTAAAAATAAATACCTGAAGTACAGCAGGCAAAATCACGAATCAACTTTTTCAAGTTAAATCATAAACATTTCTTTGCATGTTACATCAAAAACATGAAATGATAGAAAATGGCCAGAGAGAAGGAATGGCAGATAAGAAATGCAAAGTCAGCAGATGTTAATTGACACTGCTTGCAAACTGCCTGGACTCTGCGAGTAAGATAACTAAGAAATAACACAGCAGCAAGTTTATCTAGCCACTGAAAGACTATTAAATCAGCTACCAAAATATTGCCAGATACTAAGAGTTATTTCTCCTTAAATCACTCCCTCACTTCTCAGCATCAAGGCCGTACTTAAGGGGTTAAAACTCTGAGTCTCTCTCATGTTGAAATCAGGCTGCAAGCACACCACAGAGTATTATTATTACTTTTTAAGTTTTTTATGAGCTTCATTGTTTGTAATGCACCTACAGAACACGTGTCAAAGGCAGAACAAATATTGGGAGCCTTTTATCAGCAGGAAAAAAGATAAATTTTGATAGCACAACCAAAACAAAGCCTTTGGTTTGGCCAGTGAAAAATCAGCAAGCAGGATGAGATTGTTCCATTGCAAACTGTTCCAGCAGAAATGAAAAGAGATGAGCTACAGTTGCAAAGCTTGTTTGTTATAACTAGAAAGATTGTAGTGGACAAAGAGTGAAGTGGAATTCTTGACTTACAGCTGGCGCTGAATTCAAAATTAGAATCTGTATCATGCACCCCTCATTGATACACATTTCTAAGTACTTTTAAGACAAACCATAATGAAACCACTGCTGCTCACTGCTTGCACAAAAGACACAGCACAGCATAGGTTGGAACTGTTTATTTGACATCCGATGTATCCACACCAGTTTCAGTCATTAGAAGTTCCTAGAAGAAAACCAAACAAAGACATTACAAGCTGTTGCACCTCAACAGCTCCACTACGTATTGCAGATCAACCATGCAACAAGCATCCTAAAAATACAGTGCACGCATTTTCATCCTGAAATCTGGGTTGGGACTGAATGTTACCTCTGCAGATGTTATTATGGAAAGATAAGCACACGTACTTGGAAACAATTCCATCGTTTTTCGCCAGACGCAGAATGGAGTCATCTGATTCCCCCTGTAAGAAAAACAGTAAATCTTAGGTGAGTGAATGATTGCTGACACAGACTGAAGAGGCAGCAGCAGCACTTATTAATGGCAGTGAAATGCACAAGGTTGTTTGTTTGTTTGTTTTTCCAAAACAGGTCGTTGCATTTCATTGCAACAGATTATTGTTTTTAAAACAAGCTGTTAAGTTTTCATTCTTCAGAATAAAAAACAGAGCTTGATAAAATACACACTTGCATTAACAAGACATATTTCTGAGCAAATGAACTGCTGATGAACTGTAGGAAGCTTCACAAAATGCTTCTTTAACAAATTCCAGACAGTATCAGATCTAATAACATGATGATAAAATGATAAAAAGCCAGGTATCAGCTGCTTGGTGCATTCTTGGAAGTTTGCATCTTCTAGTGATTTTTAAAAAATACAAACATAAATGATTCCCTAATCAAAGAATTGAGGAAAAAACATAAGAAATTGACTCTTAAAGTCAATTAGCTCACGCCTTCGCTCTGTTTTTATTATCCCAACAAAAGCTTTTCCTCCAAAATATGCTGAAAGCACACTTCATTTTCCAGGGCCAAACAAACCTAAAAAATCACTGGTCAGTATAAAGAGGACCACAGTCATATTGTTCCAAGAAAATACCCACCATCCTACGAATTGCTCCACAGATGGCATATGTTTTGAACTGCCCATTGACTCTGCCTGTTACCTTGTCGACCTGTAATTACAAGCAAATTACTGCACGGATTCTTACAGAATTCTTACCAAGTTTTACATCATGCTTGCCAAAAGCTCACTAATAAATATTCTTTGCTTTTCTGCAAAACCCCAAGGCAAACACTTCTGTTAGAATCTACAAGGTATACATTCAAAGCAAACATATTGTTTATGACATAACATAGCTGTAACATCTAATGGATCACACAGCATTACAAAACGCAACAGAAAATGGTAAACGTTACTGCCTGTTTAGTGTTTTTTTTTTTTCAAGTTTCTTTTAATTAAGTCAAGGTAATTAATTAAGTCAAGCTGCCCAGAGAGGCTGTGGATGCTCCAGCCCTGGAGGGGTTCAAGGCCAGGTTGGATGGGGCCCTGGGCAGCCTGGTCTGCTATTAAATGGGGAGGTTGGTGGCCCTGTGTGTGGCAGGGGGTTGGAGAAGAGCACACTAAAGAAACGTGCTTTCTTGGACAGGAAAAATTAAGCACTTCTTTCTATTTCCCTCAGGAAAAGAAATCCCCTAATTTTAACTCTATCTAAAGTTGACTGTTTGATTTAGTCACACAGTTAAATGGTCAGGAATAAGTCATTTTCAACCTTTCAAAAGGTTGAAAAATAACCAGGAGTGACACAGTAGTATCCTAGTAAGTGCAAAAGCTCTCTAGCTCTGCACTTGTACAATTACTGAAGCTTACAACAAGTGTTTGTATTTACTAACTTCTATCAAAACTGAAAGGCACTGCTTTCTTATCAAACTCTTCTGTGAAGAAACTTACCTCAGAAATATTTATCTGAATGGAAGCATGGTCCTTGGCACCAATTATTCGATTGCTGGCAGAGCTGGGGAGTAAACAACGAGGTATACTTAAATACTGTCAAAGCTACACTTACATGAAAACAAGAGCTGCACATGTTCATAGTGACAACACAAGGCTCAGACACTGCACTGCACAAAAAAGTCAGAATTCAGTTTTAAGAATGTTTGATGGAGACTTTCACTTTAGTCATTCTCAGCTGCCAACGATCCCTACAGTTTGGCATGCTCCGTTTATTCCTATACAGTGCAGCCACAAGCACAGACCTTTGAAACGTTGTACTAAATTTGACTTTTCTAACGTGCAAAAACCATTGGTCATTTAAATCCTTCAAAAATGTATTGCCTATACCTTTACTCACTAGAAGCCATAAAAGCTATCAAAAAACATTCACGTTGTTCAGTCTGCTCAGAAATTGCTGGCTTCAAAAACATCTAACTAAAAAAAAATCACCCAAAAATAAACCATTTACGTGCATTTTATGAGATATAAAAATAACCTTCTCTGTAGAAACTGTCCATTTTCTACAGACTCAACACTGTCTTTACGATTCATGCCTGAGATAACAATCATCTAACACGTTTTCTGCAGCAGCCTGCAGTGCAGAAGTGGTACTACACTACAAACACGTTTCCTTTAAAAGCAGCCCTAAACGATCTGCACTGTACGGGCGGCTGCTGTGCAACCTAAGATAGAGAATTCTCTTCAAATAGAGTCCTCGCTGAAAAAAACTTATAGCAGATAAGTAGAAAATACGGAAATAAGATTATCCTCCCTCCAATTAAACATAATAAGCCAAACATCAGCCTCAGTTCCCTTTCTCTGCCCGGGAACCACCACAGCTCCGCTCACCACTTCCGAGGCACGTAGAGGTCCACGAACTCGCCGGCGTCGTTCTGCATCGCGTGCGGGTGGAGCCGGGCACCGAGCGCTGAGATCTGGAATGAGCGAGGCAGAGCTCAGCGCCGTCCCACGAGGCCCGGGCCCTACAGCTCCCCCCACCCCGCCTCACGGCACGCTGGGAACGGAGCTACCGTCATCCTCCCTCCCGCCTTCCAGCCCCCAGGACCTCCCCGGCTCCCGCAGCCCCTCTGCGCCGGTGCCCCCCCTCACCGAGCCCTGCCCTCAGAGCAGCCGCGCGCCGCCGCCATACCTCACACACGCACCGCGGCGGAAAGGAAAGGCTGCTCGCCGGAAGCGGAAATGAGAGCGCGGGCGGGGGAGGACTTCCGGCGTAGCGTCGACTTCCGGTGTGTTGCCACGACGTTACGGGTGGCGTTAGGCTCCCTCAGAGGCGGCGGGAGCTGCCCTATCAGGCCTCCCCCGCCCGCCCCCAGCAGCACAAGCACCATACCGGAACGCGACGATTGGTTACAAAACACGTATCAAAACAGTTTTATTTCACAGCATCTTAAACGCACAAGTTGACGGGGGAAAAAAAATAAAATAAAAGTACATGGAAGTGTATAAGCCAGATTCTTAAATAACATAGACAAAAAAAAACCCATAACACAGCTTTTTTTTTTCTTTTTTTTTTTTTTCTCCTTTTCCTTTTCCTTCCATACACGAGAACCTACAGCCTCTTGTCGAGAATCGCAAGAGCAGCACCGCACTCACAGGTGCACAGCATTCGGCCGCCCCTGCCCCATGAGGGCTCTGGGCGCAGATGAAGCTGATGAGGGCTCGGGTCCCGCTTTATTAATAGGTAACGCAGTAATAGTCCTTCGCCACACGGTGGCAGCTTTTCGGTGAAATGATAAATATTGCTACAAAGGAAGAACTGAACGGGGCTGGAAGTTACGCACTGGAAACAGAAAAATAAACACACATACACAGCTACTGTATCGCTCCAGGACTGATCCTGCAGAGACAACACAAAAGAGGTACTCATTTACAAGCTGCATCTGGCTGCTGTTGGCCCAAAGCACTGCTTGTGCTCCTTTCCAACATCACTGCCTCCCCTGGGCTGTCGCATCTGCCTGCACCCCACACAGCCTCCAGGCTCAGCACCACTGCGTGGGCCTCAGCCAATGCTTACAGTTAGTTTTAAACAGCATTCTGTCATTTAATACTCCTAATCCTAATCTGTTCTTCTGAAGAAAAAAAAAAAAAACAAAACAGAAAAACAAACCACACCAAAATATAACCAAAACCTTACCCATTTATGATGGTAAACAATAGTTCCCATTCTGCAAGGGGAACTCCAGCCCAAACACCCACTGCAACCAGACAAACTTCCACTGAATACAGACTGAACTGTTCCAAAAATAAATGCGTTTTTTCCCCTACATGGGGAGAAAGTCAATTGTTAAAGAAAACTCTTCGTATGCTAAGTAGAAGGAAATCCCCAGAGACGTTCTCCAACTTCATTCTCACTAAGCAAAGTGGTTATGAATTTCTGGACATACCACCTGAAAAATTTCTTTGCTCAATTTCAGTTCTTCCTCCTTACCCAATGACCACAGGGAGCAGTGGACCACTTCAGTTGTGCTCACATCTGTTCACTAATTCCAAGGCTCACTATACATGTTTAGCACTTTGTTATTAATTGCATGCAAGGACAGTTACATTCAGTAGAAAGTTGAACCAGTAGGCAATTTTAAAACCCTTCTGTTAGATAATTGGCTAGCCTAACTTATTACCTACCATCTCACTTACAGAGATTGGAAAGTCCTTCTGTGTTAAAGAGAAGCCAGAAGCACATTAAATTTACACAAATAACTTGAAGCTACGTACAGCTGAACAGTTACAAAGGAGTCAATAGTCAGTGTAGTTATTACATATGAAAAATACAATTTGAGCCCTACATAAAGAGAAAGGAGCTCCAAGACAGTTTGCTCCAACTCTAATGAAGCAAAATTAGCTTCAGGCCAAACATGGCTGAGGAACAAAGATTCAGCTTTGTTTTTGCCCACAACATCTAATACAAAGAACAGAAATTTACATTACTTTACATATTAGATAGCAGGTACCCATACCTCAATACAAGGTTTAGCATTCCCATTTAGAAGTCAAACAAATTACAAATTTCTCAGTCTTAATAGCTAAGCATCAGTTTTGCTTCTTGCAAATGGACACAGCTACCTGTATCACAATATTGCTTCAGAAAATAAAACCAATATCACAGAAGGTTCCACATGTAATCAGAGCTCATTCCCAACCTGGATATTTTAAGAACAAATGAAGGAATAGTCAATGGTCAAAGAACTTATTAACCTCTGTGTAAGCAGTGGGGTGCTGCCTGGCACCGGCTGGTAAGTAGCTGTTCAGATGTGCAACAAATGCTAGTATTATGAGGACTGTCACAGTGATGCAATGCTTGGAAGAACAGAGTAAAAAAAGTAGCATTTTCAATATCAAGCATGCTTTGTGTCATTGGCTTGGTTTGGCAGAAACAGCATTACTGACTTAAGTACTTGCTCAGAGCATGTAAGACCATATATAATACAGTCCTACTGAAAAAGGTGCTTAGTTCAGACTACAGAACACAGAAACAAATCAATATAAGAAATTATATATTTTAGACCAAGTTGCTCTTGGTCAAAAGCACTCATCTTCCATTTGAGAGTGAACTGGGCTGGTAATCACCTTGCTGCAGCTACCTTGTTCAACAGGTGGTGTTTCATGACAGACTTCAAAACAATCTTTAAATAAAGTGTATGTTCTTAAGATATTATAGTTAACTAAATTGAAACAGCAACTTCAGTCTAGCTATAGTATGGGACAGATGCCCTGGGTATCACTAGTGCAGATATACTGGAATTGTTTTCCTTATACACAAGGCCAATGCAGGTAAAGAATAAATGTCTATATAAATTCAGGATTCTCTATGAAATAACATAACTAACTTAAAAAGTACTGGTACCAGACCAGCCAGTTTTAGGCACATCTTTAAAAAAAATAAAGTATGTGTTCCATTAATGTAAAAATGCAAGAAGACTCTTGGAAACATCTGGACTTTATGGTGCACTGGAATGGAAGTGATGCTTCCTTTAGTTTCAAGGAATAAAATAAAAGCTTAAAAAAAAAAAAAAAAAAAGAAACAATACCATAGGATTCTTCATGTGGAAGAACAGTTTTAGTAAAACTGCAAAGATAAATAAGGAATAATCAGCAGCCATGACAGCTGACTGGTGAACACTTGTGCTTTAAATGTCCAAAACAAAATGAAGTTCAACATCTCTTCTCGTACCATCTCCCAGACTTCGCATGTGTCTCCATAATGCAAACCTTGACAGTTTGAAAACACACTGCAGATTTGAGAGCCAGAGCTGGCAGGATGCTCCCAGGGCACAGAGGCCAATGGCAAGTCAGCAGCAGGGCTCAGCGATGCTATCCCAGTGCTGCCAGCTACCAGCTGGAGTGGAGCTTTGGTTAAGATTGTTGTGTGAGCCGTCTGTAGTGAGGTAACACTTGGTTTTCAGGAAGATAGAGAGCCAGTTCCAAAGCTACAAGGACAGTGAATTCAAAACCAATAAGATCTCTTCTGTTGAATCTGAATCTCTCTTCTAGTTTCTATGATAGTAAGAAATAAAATAAAATTAAAAAAAAAAAAAAAAAGAGCAGAGGGAGAGAAACAATCAGTTATCCAGAATTTCTCAGTGCACTTTCACATCAAGTCAACACAAAAGAGGAATAAGTGATGCAAGACCAGAGAGAAGTATTGCCACAGATCAAACATGTAGATCAGCACAGCTGTCACACCCACACAACAGTTACTGTTTTCCAGGCAACCACTGAACACAAAAAAACCTCACTGTAAGATCAGTAGGACATTGACTGTATCAGTCAGCTTTTCATAAATTAGAAAAAGCATCCAAAAGGAAGAGCCCTGGATGAAGCTTGAAACTAACTGAAAGAGTCAGCCTTGAATGCAACATGCAGTGGCTGAAATTCTTGTTTCTTTTTATCTTTGCTTTGTTCTATGGAAAAGGAAGGTTTTGACCACACCCAAAACATGCCTCATAGTACTTACATCTATAAGATGCTTAACTTCATGTTTCCTGAGATCACTGCTGATCTTGGCTGCAAGCAGAACACAAGCACCAGCACACAGTTTGCGGTTCTGTTTGTTGAGTTTGCCTTGGAGAACAAGCTTCTCAAAGTACACATAAGCCATGGACACAGTAACTGGCTCCAGATTGCATTCTTCACTCAGATTCCGCATCTCTCTCTTCAAACTAAGAACAGGCAGGAAAAAGGAAAAAACACCCTCTGAGACAAACAGCTTTTAGAAAACGCTGTAGGTACACTTCAGTGCGTGCACACCAACAGTGTGAGTTTCACTGTGGAAACTCAGAAGAGCACACATTCAAGACTCTTATTTGGAAAACCAGGGCTGGTATTACCCCAGACTGGAGCAGCCCAGTTGGCAGCAAGCTGGAGCTGATCCATGCACTGATTTCACCTGGCTGACTGTGGAAGCACAGTTCCTTATCCGACCATGAACACTACGAGTTCAGCTCCCTCACTGAAGCACAGGCTGTTGCTGTATGGATCCCTCTGAGGTCCCAAACAAGTTCATGATTCATAAGACCCAACTGCCCTGACCTACACACCATCACATCAATGCTGTGCACAGAGAGGCCTGTCTCCCACACACCTCAGAGGAGAATCAGGTCTGAGGGGGAAGGCAAACTGCTTCATCACCCCCACAGCAGATGGCCCTTCACTTCTGCATGAAGGTGAACGTTATGCAGGATGCTCCCTCTCACTGCTATCACCATGCTACAGAGCTCTCTGCAAAAATCCCTGCTTGAAACAACTACAAAGAGGAGCATGCAGGACACTGCCAGACTTTGAATGAGCAAACCTTGTCCTCAGCTGGGAACTGCAGTGCTAGTGATTCAGCAGTATCATGTTCTAAGCTGGCTATTTCAGAAGGCCCTAATTGCATTAACTCTGGTGTAATACCAGCAGGATTACAGCTCTCAGAAGGCATAACAGTACATCTCATTGGTGAACAGTCAGACATTTCCTGAATGGTGAGGAATTCTATGCCTTCAAAAAATACTTTACCAAATGTTCCCAGAACAGACCTTTTTTTTTTTTTTATTCTAGAATACTGTTGAGACTGCATTCATCAGCAAATCTTGTAATTGAAAGGTGGAAACAGCCAGAGAGACGAGCTGGATAAGAGCAGGACTGCATGAAAACCACTCAACCAAGTTACAAGTATTTGTTTCAAAGCTGATATTACTTCATTGTTAATTGGCTATTAGTGTTGATGAAGCAAAACTCAT